CTTTCAGGAACTTTTCTTCACAGTCGTAGAGGTCGTTTTCAAGCATATCGCGGTTGATGGAGTATACCACAGCCATGTTGGGAATGAGAAGAGGAGGCAGCGCTGAAGTATTTATCTGCATCACGTGAAAGGCTGTTAATGCCATGTTTAACGTTTACTTTAACGAGGACTATAAAACGCTCTATGTCAGCGTGTGACAATGTGTGTTGTCTCGCTCGCATTGTTACCGTAATTGACGCTAATTGTCTTCAACTACCAGACAACCATCTTTAACTGGATAATTAAGATTACGGAACGTAAAGTCTGTTTTTATAATTAATTAACGTCAGTTTAAGTTGATCAAGCGTATATTGTTACGTTCAAGCGAGCAGTCTTAATTAGGCCCAGCTAGGCTGACTAAAGCCTGATGGATTTCTACATAACACCATCAACCCCAAGCCGCTTTTGTGTTCGAGAGACTGCTTGTTTGGTTAATTAACCAAACGTGTTAGATAACGCTGTTGTCAGGGAACAGTTTTGAATTGATGGAGGTGGCAGACAGACAGACAGACAGACAGAGAGATTTTTTTATTTAAGTCTCACCTCGATATATATCAATATTGGATATATACATTAATAAAATATACAGGTAAAATATATCGAGCCACCCTCCATGGGGTTATGAGAGACTACATTGCAGATAAAAAATACATAGGCAAAAAACCCGTTTACAAATAAGTTTTAAAAGGTATGGTTAAAAGATTAAAACATTAAACCTTTTATATAATATGTGAAAATGTTTATAGTAACACCTTCAAAACTATAACATCATCTTCAGCCTGTAAAATAATATCAGTCGATAAATAAATTGCAATTCATTTTCAGCGTTTATGCATCTAAAATGTAAATATGTTTGCGTTTTCGCTTCCATAAACCGAAAAATTGGTCAGGCTTACTGACGGACTAATTTCCCTGTTTAACTGATAATTGGGTGGACAGGGCTTTTGTTTCATTATAGCGCGATGACACCGAATTCGTATCATATCCGCATTTTATTGTTTTACCGAATGAACAGCCTGTGAAAAATACATATATATGAATTATTATAGAAGTATTGGAATTGCTGACAAACTAAAGGCACTAACTTCTATATACCATTGCGATATTTACATGTATACCCATAAACTAAAACAATATAAGATTCGATTCTTAATAGCATCCGGTGTGCTCACTAATTGTCAGTGGTCCATTTGTAATAGTACATTGCTACCTTGCCTTTCCCATCAAACGGAATCAGTGTAGGTAGCTTATAGAACATAGGCGGAGACTGATAATTCTGATGATAACGATAGGGTGAGCCCATTCCCTTGTATGATTATGTGTAGATTGGAAAAATAATATGTATATAATTATCTATGATAGCTGTGGATGTAGTGCATGAGTAATAACAACGTTAACAATGAAATATATAAACAAATCCAGTTTTATTGTACATGACGTGCCTTGCCGATATCTTGACTCAGCTACTAAAGTTTAAACTGAATTTTTTCGCCTTCAACAATTCTTTTGTAAATTGGCACACATCATATCGTCAGTATTGTCCTGTAGATCTCCATTATGTTGCACCTAGTTCATGTGTACGTCACTGTCTATCTTTATTGTTACTACTACTCTATCATTGTTAGGGAGCGGCATTGATATAAGCATGTTTTATGCTTGATTGCCAATCCCGTCATGATTAAATGAATAAATATGTTTAAACCATATAAACAAACATTCAGTAATTGTATATTCTAGCGATTTTCAAGAAGCCACACCGAGACATTGTAGTTAAGCCTAGCGGTTAACTCTTTCTCCGTCATCCATAAATCTTTGGTTAGATTGACAATGTGCAGTGCATCTCATGACGTTACAAAGCCTTGGGCAATTGTTTTAGAAGTACCCTCTCACTAATGAATATGGCATGGCTTCTCAACGCGGTATTTGGTTTCCTGGTTTATGACTACGAAACAATTTACATAGTCACATTTCATAACAGCAATAACTTATTGTTTTTCATAAGGACAGTTATAGATAAGAAAGCATCTTGTTTCGAAAAGAAAAATAATCGGAAGAGTATTCTGTTTACCACGCCTGTCGATGTATTACGATTTGGTCGCCGTTGAATAAACACTGAATAACGTGTATCAGTTAAAAATAACAAAATATGACACTTTATTCTCATTATTGAAATGTCCAATTTTTTAATGTTCCTGTGTAATTTATTATTTGTTGAAACTGGTAAAACTTTCGACGGACAGGCAACACATTTTATAAATTTATTACACATCCGTAAAATTAAAGAAACAAATCAACCAACAATGTGTCATTGTTTTCAAAGTTTCTTTCTTAGATTTGTTGGCCCTGATAAGGGCCTTTGTAATTAAGCGTGAATTCACATGCGTTTTCTGTTTACGAAGAAACCGTTTCTTCAGCCTTTCCTATTTCGTACGTGAGATAGGCTATTTCTTCAGCCTTCTTCCACGCGTACTCATAGTACGTGTTCCGGATGCCCTCGGTCACCCTCAGCCGGAGTAGAAGGTTGTAGCGGAAGGCGGGGCTGCTGTTGGCGATGTCGCGGCGATGTTGTATGTCTTCCAATCTAGCGTCCAGGAGATGTATTTGGTCACATGCACGGTTCAGACGGCTTTCAGTCTCCACTAACGCCAGCTGCAGCTTCAACAAAGTGAGTGTAGACATCCCAGGAGTAGTTGCTGTTGAAGTCGCCGTCGCAAGACCGAGTGAGTAGGAACTGACACACGTTTAACAGTATTCAGTTATGTGAAATTTGGGAGAAAAGAACAAGTAGATGTTGAAAACGTAAAGACACAATGCAAGGCAATGCAATGGTTGAACATGTGGTTCCGAGTCAGGCATTAGTGGGGAGTGACTGTTTTATGTGTGGTTATATGGTAGAATAATACTACTTTGAGGAAAAGTTGTCAGTCTATGTGTACTACTCGAAAGAAGGTTCATGAACTCCGGATTTTCTCACACGACCAAAGTTAATCTGGTCATGGCTGGTTGGTATTGCAATACAACCTTCTAATTGTTGGTGTTCTTTAACTTGTTTTGAGGAACATAGTACATGCATAGTTTCTAGTGTACTGTTTAAGCGGCAGTTGTAAGATAGAGCAGTCGGTGTCCTGAAGCTGACACCGTTGCCTGTATGTGAGCACACGATGGCACAGTGTACGCCCACTGAACTGGCTTCCCGAGCAATGTCAGATGTGTTCATGTGGTCACTGATACAAATCTGATACGTGGTTTCAGAATAGTTTTGGTTCTGTCCTAGTTAAAATGTTGTATCTATTTACGCAAAAGGTTTTGATGACTTAATTCGTATAAGGCCTCCAAGTGCACAATGAGCGTTAGCTGGAAGCTCTCATAAAAGCTCCAACAGTTCCTCGTGATGTGATATCCTCTTTGAGTATGGCACATTGGTCTGGTCATTGGCTAAAGTCATGCTTTACAGTTATATCCTGCTAGATTTACGTTGGAGTGATGCTGACCGTTTTGTGGAACCCAGGATATAATCTGACGAACCATGCATCATTGTCAGTAGCCGCGATCATGATATCGTGTCACGCCCAAGGGACGCAATAATGCGACTCCTTAGACAACTGATCATAACAGAGGTGAATATGGGATTCGAACCTACGACCACAGAGTTATATTGCGTCAATCCATTGAATCCCAATAAATTAAAATGAGTCTAGGAGGTATACTGCAACATGCAGTGGAGTGTAAGATATATGAATGTTTGTTGTTTTAGGACACAATCTATATCACGACTGCCTGTAAGTAATGAATTTGGGCCAGACAAACCAGTGATTGTTATTATAGCAATACACAATACGAAATCCCAGAGACCGTTGAACTATTCCATCGACTTCATCATTAACACGTGTTTATGGTTTTGAGTGGCATTTCGAAGTTGGTGTGATGAACAACGGGGAGAGTTCTATGATATACAACTTCGCCATAGCTAACACCGTTATCAAGCAGCTAAACCGAAACGTCGCTTACGTTAATAATAAACCTGTTGTATATCCATAGAAGTCTCCCCGGTGTTCATGGTTCACTGTAGAATATTGATGACACCCGATGTTCGTGAGTTTATATTTTACGCCGCTTTTGCAATATTACAGCAATATCATGGCGGGGACACCAAAATGGCCTTCACATTTTGTTCCCATCCTGGTGTTCGTGAAAAGTTGAGCGTATCCTGCCCCATCGACGACACGAGTCACTGACACATGCATGTCCCATGCCGCCGGGTATGGTGGCACACAGTCAACAATGTCCGACCATTTGATCCACATTGCGGTCAAGCAATACATGGTAGAGGATACACCCGTTCCACAAAGCAATATTAGCGCTTCGACTATCGTGGGCTAATGTTAAAGTATGGGAGTTACGATCACCTAAGCCTTGATTAACATCTCATCTTTGAAATAAAACATATTTTTCAGAACATAAAGCTTCCTAAATTATAATCATGAAATATAATGAAAAGGTGACAGGATAACAGTTCCTGAAACTGTGGTAATCTAGACTGGCAACATATTCTAGACTTGTGTGAGCTTCCTTGGGTATATTTGTTTCAGGGTCTGTATGACAGACTAACCTTAGCCCTAAAATGTCTTTGTGAAACGTATTTGGTTTGTTTGAGGTTTAACGCCGCACTCAGCAATATTCCAGCTATTTGACGACGTTCTGTAAATAATCGGGTCTGGACCAGACAATCCAGTGATCAACAGCATGAGCATCGATCTACGCCATTGGGATACGATGACATGTCAACCAAGTCAGCGAGCCTGACCACCCGATCCCGTTAGTAGCCTCTTACGACAAGCATGGGTTGCTGAAGGCTAATTCTAGCCCGGATCTTCACGGGTTTGTGAAACGGACCCCTTGTTCCTCCGTTATGATTTCTGAATCCAAGTAACCCTTGAAGGAATTAAGACAAGACTCAGATGGCGGGTAGTTTAATGAAGTTTTTAATTACAAGAGCTGTTTCAACAGTGGCGCTAGAGGGACCATATATACTTGAACACGCAGAGAACAACACACCGCTCTGAAAGCTCATAGTCCGTTCTGTACAGCAATGAATGGACTTGAAATGTCAAGTAAATATTTTCAAATTTTCTTCAACACTTTTTAGTAAACGCTTTTCAGTCTTTTCAACACGTTTTCCCATCACTTTGCCGTGGCCACACTCGCACCGAAACTGGTTTGTGAGGCAGTTTGAAATTTAAATGTAACCAGTTTGGGCCTCATTTTAAACTGGAGCCAGTTCGCAACAATTCAGATTTCCAGACTCATAAAATGAACCACGAATGAAGAAGTATATTCCGGTGTGGCCGTTGTTCCTTTCTCTTTCCTTTCGGTAGTTATTCTGAGCTGTTACTAATTAATAGTGTATATCAATTTATGTACAATGGAAGAAAATATATTGGGATAAAAATCGTATTGGCAGTGAGGAATAGGAAATCACACGTGAATCGGTTTCTTCCCTCGGTTGACTTCCAAACCCTTTTTTATGCCGAGCTGTTGCGAATATAACACTTGTTATAACAACCAAATGCTTTAAGTTAGCCTTTAAATAAAATATATGCAAATAAATAACAAATATGAAATATCCCTTACTTTTGTCAACATTTTGGACATACACATGTACAGCAAGTGCGCGCTTTATGGCCTCGTATTAAAAATCTTTCAGCATTCGATTCTGTTTCAGCAAGGCACAGTTTCAGCAATAGAAGCTGATTGAGTTCGCAGAGTGAGACGCATTAACAAAGTCACCATAAAGCATACGCTGTAACGTGGGATAGTAAAATATTTGTACCAAAACCGGAAGAAAAGCTTTTCTAATCGAAACAAAATGTACAAAATCTCCAATCGATGCTTCGATGAAAGTAACAGTCTGGCATGCCCCCGGACCAGACGCCAACTTGACTGGGACGCCCTACTTCACTCTAATACTTCTTCTGAAAAGTTAAGTAAACACATATTAAAGAAAACCTAAAAAGAAAAGAAACATGAAAGTTTTATTTGATTTTCAACCGATTTAAATACATGGTATGGATGGTTGTGTGTTACTATAACATAGTTTGATCCAAGTTCCACCTATCGATCGCTACGATCATTCTTGAATATTGCATCATTTTAATTACTTTACTGTCAGATAAAAAGCAAACTTGACAATACTCTTTCAGATAACTTTAACCAATTATAATCAAAGTAATAATTAAAATAAGTAAATACATAGCATAGAAGTAAGCTTTACATAACAAAAAGGAAGTGATTCAGAAAGTTATCTGATTGCCGAAATTGTGAGTATTCCACTGATTGGCTACCACAACGTGACACGTGACCGCGACACGTGATCTTTACCCGTAACACCAAGGGATCCTCATGCAATGGGAGCACAAACAACAGCGGAACCGTGTCAGTCACCGGGTTAGGATAGATAAAACAACAGGCGAATAAACGACGCATCAGGTACGAGATCCACCAACACGTCTTACCGTCGCCTCGTCGTGATCCTCAGACCTTGATGACAACCATCATGGCGGCCGTGTACCGGAAGTTAAACATTTGTGTCTTATGAAAATATAAATTTGTAACATTTGGATGTTTAGTCCACGTTCATACCTGGTGTGTCGTTTATACATTCGCTTTACTGCAGCTTGCCCACTAAAAAGCAGCGAAGCAATTTGCAGATTTGTTTATAAATCATCACTGGGTTTGATTCAGAATGTTACACGAGGACAATGACGTCATTTCTAGCCTGGGTAAGGGGTTTATGAGTAGGAAGTACTTGAAACGTTCTATTGCGGAAGTTCAGGACCAGAAAAACCAGTGATCGATATTATGAACAACGTCCCACATCACAGGGGTATGATAACACACAATCAACCGGGTAATTATGTCTCACCATCCGATTCATTTGGTCGCCCTCTTACCACTAGGTTGGGTTCGTTAGGAACCTGGGCGGTAGGGGAGGCTAGTGGTTAAAGCGTTCGCTCGTCACGCCGAAGACCCGGGTTTGATTCCCCACAATGGGTACAATATATGAAGCCCATTGTTGGTGTCCCCTGCCGTGATATTGCTGCAATATTGCTAAAAGCGGCGTAAAACTAAACTTAATCCTTAGGAACCTTTTAACCCAGAATCCCTACAGGGTCCAGAGACTGATAATACCGATGCTACATTTGCTGGAGCTACTGGCACAGGGGGGTCACTCATTGTACAAATGTTGCAGGAATCCGGTGGGTGGTAAGGTTTGTGTATTCGGAGCATCACTGTAAGGTGTTTCACTGCAAGCCCGACCGTTTCCATGGATACCTACCCTCCCGAAGGGACTAGACACGTGTGTTGCACGTGGCTTTACTCCCGGTCCCTGTAATAGTTGGGTTCGCCTCTGCTCCTACACACCGTGCGCCTCAATCTCCTCCTCAGTTCGGAGACGGGCTGTTTTGGGGGCATACCGTATTGGCTCTGTCAAGGTATAGCACAATATGTGACGTCATATGCTTTGGGTGACGTCATGACATTGTGAGTTCCAGAAACTCGGAAATCAACTGTCAATGTCAAGGTCGTGTGTATGAGCCCGATACATATTTAGCAAAAATATGTTTTACAATTCACACCTCTTGTGTAAAGTTGTAAAGGCTTTACCGTATAACGAGAAACGTTCTTGAAATGACAATGGATGACGGTAGTTTCTGGAAACTCTTGTTGTGCCCAGATCCCTGACATATTCGATATATTCTCGTAGATTTATTTTAATGCAGAAAGCTGACGTTAGTGCAAAAACTGGGCTGAACACATGAAGCAACAACGGTTAAAACAATGAAGAAGGTTACGTTAACAATCCTATGGAATGAACTCGTTAGGGAAACAGTATAATATTTAAAGCATTTAACAAAATTTGCATAAATCAACAACATGCAATAAGTTTGATTGTAAACAACGTCATTGGTAAATGTACTAAATGAAGTTTACTTCTTGTCATACGTCGATTATTCAACAGTAGATGGAAAGCGCCAATGCCAATTTATATTTATGTACACTATGCTAAAACTTTTCAAACTATATATGGATATATTGGGTATATTCCATTATATATTTCAAGCGATATATAGATATGATTTTATACATACATGTCTACATACATACATACATACATACATACATACATACATACATACATACATACATACATACATACATACAGGCGCACGCACGCACGCACACACATACGTACTAAAGTGGTGCCACGCCCCACCGCAAACAGGATAGTGTGTATCTAATACAATACTTGTCATGGTCGTCGCGATGGGTGTAAGGCGACATTCCTCGCCAAGGTGATGTTACAATGGACACATATTTACCCCTACTTCTTATTTAAATTTAAAAAGGAAATATACATCAACTTTGGAAAACTCGTGTTTTCCTCCCTGAATACCAAGAATGGGTTTCGTGTGTAATTTTGCGAATCGAACCAGGGCCTTGATTTTCGAAGCTGTCTTAGCGCTAAGATAGCCGTAAGTTAATGTTAATGTATGGCACTTACGACTATCTTAGCGCTAAGAGAGCTTCGAAAATCTAGGCCCAGGGCTCTTAGCACTGCTATTAACACTTGGCCACCCGCTTCCTAATCACGATTGGTGATTAGTACATCAGGTCAATATACTTGAATATAGTTACAGTGTTCTTCTAAATTGCTGTTATTTCCATGACAAGAATTGTTTATTAAAGGTGAAGCGTCTACTATGGATATCGGAGTATATGGGTAAATATATCGACATGGGTGGTGGGGTTGTGTTTGGTTATGTGCATCATTTACATACGTGACCTATGTTTGTTTTGTGCGTTTATAAGTATCCATAATCTTTGAGAACGTTACGATTATGTAAAAGGATATCGCTACCAATTGTTAATCTGCACACTCTGTTATAGAATCACATGCACTCCTTACCTCAATGCCAATAATCAATATAAATGTATAACGTTTAAAGTATTAATATATTGAACATTGTTTTACCAATTTCAAAACTATAGAACATTAAGTATGACAAAATTACATTAAAATTATGGACAAAATTACTATGAAGTGTATTTTAAATATTGTCCTCAAAATATTTCAAAAAAAGTAATATGTGATGGAAAGAAATTTGTTGATCGGATGTGTAATTCATTTAACGTAATCATTCATTGATATTTCAATAAAGCAAACTGAGATACAGTGAACCTTTCTTGTCCGAACCCTGTTAATCTGGAAATGCAACCTCGGGACAATTACTGCAAGGAACGTAATCTGCCAAGTATATTATTACATATCTGTGATTCGTTTATCCAGAAATTCCTAAATCCAAATGATTTCAGAGGGAACGCTGTCCGGATTAACGGGGTTTCTCTGTCTTCAGTGTTTAGTGTGCCGGGTTAGTGGAACTAGAAGCAAAACTTACGACCACACGGGGAGAGGGTTTGTATACCGACAGGCGATCGCTGCTGACACTCACCGGGCCTCTGTAAGAACTTTAAAAGTCAGAAAAAATTAAAGCATTTCGAAAGCACGATGCACCATTGCCATGAGACCTCAACACTGTATGCCGCCGAGAGTTAGGCTTGCTTTCCTAATAAGCAACGTTTCTTGTGAAACGCTCAGCTCTCAACGTAAGCATAGGTTAAGCACACAGCAAAGGGAAACTAAGAGCCGGTTAAGTTGCAAAGCAACTTGTACTCAACGGCTGCGTTTAGGTGATTGTTCTAGTTCAAGGTGAGTTGCGAACATGTTGATAAAAGCGTTTAAGTCTGCTAGGCGAAACATGAAAACTCGACAAAGTAAACGATAACAAGTTTAATCTTATAACAAGTTACGATTATTAATAGTAAATATTTAGTACAACTTTAACATCGTTTAAGCAGTATTTAAGTGTTAGTAACGTGAACGTGACGAAAGTTTCTAGTGTGGGTTATGAATAAAAGTAAACAAAACAATAACGCTATCACTAGCCTTGAACTGAAACAAGTGAAACCAAAATGTATAGATTCGCAAAAAGTGTGGGAACTGGTGTGAGATATATAGAGAAGGGAAGAGAAGAGAAGAACATATTTTCAAAATAGAAAATGGGTAAGAGATTGCATGCTACTTTACTAAGGCAAAGACTTTGGTATACTTCCAAAACTTGTTGATTATATTTGACATATTTTCCCTCTCATATCAGCATGCAAGAGAAAAGGATTTAACTGCATTTACAAGAGCAATTCGATATTCCCGACTTCAAAATAAGACTGAAAAAATCAAACATAAAGAATATTAAGCATGCACTACTTAAGAGGAAAGTCAACAGAAAATCAGAAACGTGCATGGCATGCATATGGTTTATACAAACGAATTTCTTTATCCGATCTCTTGCTGGATCAAGTTATAACTTTCCTTCCATAATTTATAATATGATCTCAGAAAAGGATACTTCTATTTAGCATTTGAAACACTTAATTTTCAAAATATGCATTTGAAACTCGTTTGGCTAAACACGATAGTATCCTAGTTGCCTCCCTTGAGTATAGTATCTTTGTTTCCCCATTTAGTATAATAATTTCGAATACACATATACATTCATGTTCATAATCAGTTCAGATCAGTCTTCAAACGGAAAAATGCATCACAGACTTCATATCGGATATGATGGCTCTCAGGTTAATAGGAAACATAACTGCAAGGGAGATAACTGTAATCGGAAGGTAGGCAGGAAGTGACGTAGTGGGTACATACGGGTCACGACGCTCGAGCTCCTCCATCTTGCGCTGAACACTTCCCTGTATGTCTCGGGGCTGGCCACTCTCGGTCAAGTAGCGGTCAAGCATTTGACGGTGGCGGTCCATCTTGTCATGGGCCTCACGCACTTGCTCTCGCATGCGCGAGAATGATCCTGGCTTGTAGATAAGATCAGAGGGGTCCATACGGGAATCCAGACGGTACTGTGGAGATTTTTCATAAATTAATAAGTAACAGAAGCGACAAATCCAAATCCAGAAATATTTTTTTCTGCTGAAAGTCCATTTCCTGACAACTACCTGTATCCTGTGCACGTGTTATTACATTAATAACATTCAACAATGTGACCATGAATTCATTAATGTTTACAATAATTGATGTTTTTGTGACCGGTTGATAGTCTTACTGTATTTAGCAATCTTGAAGTTATGAAATATGTTTCATGTTTCAGTAATTTTATTAGAACATTTACATCTGTACTTTCAAAGAGTTTTAAAAGAACCCGATATCTGAAAAATACAAAGGTCAGGAAAAATAAACTGAGAAAATCTCCAAGGCAGTTAGTTACATTACATGCCAGAACCATGCTGTATTGTGGGAAGGGAGTGGAAACGTGTTTTTCCTTACTAAGGTAACAAAAAATATCTCAAAATCCCAGCAAAGAAGTGTGAGCCTTCAAGCTCATATTCTTACACAGAAGCTTGATACTGAAATTTAGTCTCAGAAATAAAGTTCTAGAAAGCATATGTTCTTAAAAGAGAATAAATATATTAAATCTTAAACGAATCCAAAACAACTCTTACTTTCCAAGCTAAGGCAATCTATACTTGCCCTACCTTTCTTGACTTGAGTTGGACTCCTTTTATTTATTCTCTAGGGTCATGGGTGACAAACTACTCCAAACACAGACAAGGGAATTCAGGGGCTGACTACAACTTTCACACTGGGAAGTGTTTGTTCTATATTAGTACTGTAGAATGTCCAGGGAAGCAGTCAACTTTAGCAGGTGGCGTTGTCTCATCTTACCAACACTGAGCAAAGAGTCCCATTGTCATCTGTAACCTTAGGCAGCGGAATGAACTTCATGGACAACACATTATACATGATCTCTTCGCGCGAACATAGCGCGCTTTTTGTAATATGCGGCAATGTCTTATCACCGAGAATGGCCTTCACATTTTGTTCCCAATTTGGGAATCGAACCTGGATCTTCGACGAGACTATCGAATGTGTTATCCGCGTAACTGTCCCACCACCCTACCGCCCGCGTGGTATAAATTAAATCGCACTGGATATTGCTATATTAGGGACCGTTCATTATTTATGACTGGGGGGTTGGGGTGGTGATGATGATTTTTATGGAGAAGCTTGTACAATGTGAATGACCCCCTAAAATTTATATACAAAATAAGTGACCCCCCTGCATGTCATGTACAAAATCAGTGACCCCCCACCCATAATTTCTAAGCATAATTTCAAGCATAATTTTATGTACAAAATTGATGACCCCTAGTATGTGTGTACAAAATTGATGCCCCCCCCCCCAGCTCGCCAGAACAAAATGGGTGACCCCCTTAAAATCATCATCACCCCCCCCTAGCCATAAATTATGAACGGGGTAGATTAAGTAGAGGATGCAGTCCCTCGCCTCAATACAGTAAGGAGGACTATAATGGTTTCCATCAGATTGAGACCATCTACCGTGATGTTATCAGGTCTATGAATACGCACCCAAACCTCGTTAGAAAACTTACGGTAGAATTGTATGTGTTAAAGTTCTGCTTTCATTAAGTTTATAATCTGTAGTAAAATCAAGTTGGAACAAGATTGGAGCAAGCACTATGCATGTAGATCTCGAAATTTTACGTAATCGTATTGTGTGACCGGACAGTAGGCTCGAAATATCTGTATATTCGAGATAAAGGGGGTTCGAGATAACGATGTTCTACTATAACTGATCTTACTACTCAGTGCGTCCGTCATGCAATAGAAGATAGACAATATGCATGCAAATAAACAAAATTCAATGAAATAACATATCATTGGAAAACATAACTTCCAAGACATTAACGTAATAACATAACATGTGACCAAGCATGGTGTTATTAACAGTGTGATTGGCTGAAACAAATATAACAGTATAAATGGATGAGCAAAGCGGAACATAACGAAGCTGATCTATTGTTAATATGCTGAGCGCAGATAGAAGTGTTAGGTGAGCGCTGAAGCTGTTACTTGTTACGTGTTTTGTTCATGTTGTACAAAGAAAACAGCCTACAGTGTATGAGCAAATCATAAGTGGTAAGGCTTTGATGCGGACAGAAGATATGATTTGATGACATAAATAAAACACCTGTGTAAATCAATGGTCAAAACTATACTAGATAGCACTCGATAACAAGTGTGCATTTTTGTCCAGAAAGGACCAAAATGCCTTAGTAAAATGTTTTTATTTGTTATTATTATGATGTCACTGAGAGGCGTGATTTGATATTTTCAAACTATCCACACAAACCTGTTAGAATGAAGCTTGGAGACGTTGGTAGTACGTTTTATTGTATTTTCAGATTGGGTTGAGCTCTGAACAAGTGGCGTATCAATCATAAAATTACTGGGATCGTATTTAATTTACAAAATTTTGAACTGACAAGAATAACGCTTTCCATTGTGAACAAATTTTGACGTAGGATTTACGGAAAATGGTTTATGTAATTAGAACTGATTCCTAACAATGTCCCAAAAATTTAACAATTTAGTTTAAAAAATTAAATTTAAACTTAAAGAGTATAAAATTGTTGCCCCAAGTAAGCGTGACGAAATGACAATGTCATTGTCCCTATACTAGCCCCATCCTCCCAGGGTTGCGTGGAGACCATCCCATGCACACTCCGAACCAAAGATTGACATCATGAACATCTGAAGACAATATACCAACTGACGCACCTGCCAGGACAGAAGGTTCCTAGGTTTGGTGAATCCCTCCACATCTCGAATAGCTCTCCTGTCTGATGGGAGGGGCTGGTGGGAGGAGGAAGACGGTAAATACATACGACTGACTTGATATTTGGGTATGTATCTCGCTTAGCACGTGCGTGTTAGTGGTGTGTTCGGGTGACATGTTCATGTTTTATGGTTTGTAGGTGTTTGAAGATTTTGATGGATTATTGGGAAGTTTTGTTCAATTTTGATACATTAACTTCACTTCACACAACCATCCAGTAAGGGTGAACTTTACCAGATGGTAGCAGAGTGAAGGATTGGAATAATAACGCATGGTTGGTTGTCGTTAATGTTGAAAAAACATGACTTAATCAATATCCCAAACGTTACTTACTTCTTCCGGGGACAAAAATATTTGTATTTTGTAAAACAAAATTCAGAAAAAATATGTGGGGTGTAATTTGTTGTTTGCAATGGTTATTAGCAAAGAGGAGCTTCAGACAAGAATATGTAAAATATTATTATAATCACGTAAGTGGTGATAGAAAAGATTTCGTCAGACACGTACAGCACGTGCTGAAAATGAGAGAATTTTATCCAGTTTGTACGGTACACGTTCCTTGAAAACGTCAGTGCAAAAGTATTTGTTCAATTTGCTCTAACATGTTCATGTTTGTTACCTCACCTTAATGCATTTTTCAACAACAAAGAAGCGCTGTAGAAAGAGCGTTGCTAAGCGACATACATGAGTAAATAAACAAGATGAGTAGAACAAGAAAGGACATTGCCCCAATGGACAGTGCTGCTCAGAAATACCAACGCCAGGCGCACACTCAAAATGCACGGTGTCATTGTTTCATTGTCGTCATCCACGTCACGTGGTAAGGTCGCCATCTTGTTACCATTTAAGTCTCTTCGGATCTGTTATATATTCCGTTCTCTTCCTTGCTCATTGGCTGGACCAATATTAACATTTATGCTAATTGTATTTAAATCTTTCTCAAAATACTACTGTGGAAAAATATGTATAAAATTAAAATTGAATGAACAACGAAACAACCTTATTCTTGGCTCCTTGTCATCAATATATCTGAATTAAATCTTTATTCAAAACAGATATGAAAACGTTGATTGTAGACACATCCTAGGATAATCAGATCCACAGATCTTGGTGTTGATACAGACTCTTTGGGAAGATATAAATTCTTAAATCGTCTTCACTTGACGTTGTAGTGTCCCCATGCAGCGAACCCCCGCAGGACACGTGTTGACCGTGCATTTTGAGTGTAAACGTAGAACCAAGATGCTGAGTTTGTGCTTATTATTGTTCCGCACGCCAATACCTACCAATGCCCTCGAGGTGCGCTGAAAAAGACATAACCTGATCAAGATCCAAACTCGGGGCAACCATCACCCGTATTAGCCTTGAAACGTCCACAAATGCAGGGCAGATCACAACCCATTGTGACTGAACAGGGAAGCAACGAGTAAACCTTGGTTATTTGAAACTAGGGGTCATCACAATCGTATGCTGCGACTTGTGGGAGTGCGAATCAGTTGAACGTTTGGTTATGTATACAATTTGGAGTTAACGTACAAGGGGTCTTTAAAGGCCCACCTCAGGCTGTCTAGCGGGTACTGAGGATCAAACAGCTATGTTTGGTAACATGGGAAGGAGGAGCAAGATTTGACACCAATACATGACGGTGGATGCTCGACTGAGTATAAGATTTTACCTATAAAATTGAAGGAATAGGTAAAATCTCATCCCAGTTGGGTCACTATTTCCACAGATGTCATGTAAGGGGTGAACATTTCATATTCTATGAAAAATCCTGAAAACTGTAGAAAATGATGTTATTTTTCTCAAATTCTTACATTTATTCAGAGAATATTTTATGTTTTGAACAGATTACTGAAACGTGAGTTTTGTCTCAAACAGAATATAAAATGCTCTGTACCTAATATATATATCAAATATGCCAAAGATCAAACTGGTTTCCACGTCAAGCCTAGGTCATACTCTATATTGTTATTTTTCCTCACCATCTGTGCCAGGTCATCGTATCTCTGAAAAGTGTTGAGCCACTATCAAGTATGCAAGATCGGCTGATACTTTTGAGTTGTACTTCGGCCTGAGACACAAAAGTCTCCTACATACGTATATATTCACAGAAAAGTAATGAACTGCAATACTTATAGGTTTGTGTTATGAAGAAGCGCTAAGATGTTACAGTGTGTGTAATTTATTAAGTAAGATGTGTCTTTTGATTGTTATAGAACTGTGCATGACATTTAAGGTAATATTTTACAGATTATGTAGAATTGAATGTATTTATCTGAAAGACAAGTGTTAAAATGATGCTTAAAGCACCACGATAATCATTTGGAACAGATGAATTAAATATCAAGAGTAATTATATATATCGACATAAACCCAAACATTATTTCTTCATTTCTTAGGTCTGATGTAAGTACAGATAGGTAAAAATTCGAGTGCAAAATTGGTTTAATTTTGAAGCGCTCGTAAAATCACTGATACCTCATTAAAGTTTCAGAATTAAACATTTCTCTTTAAAGAATAGCCACGAATAGCTGCAATACTGCCCGGTGTTGCTTATGGCAATTTAACTCAAATCAACCAATATACGTTCTTTTTTGGATGATAAATGGTAACATTATATTTCAAGACATCTTGAAAGGACGGACACATTGAAAATGACATACCATGGGTGGTCTGGAAGCGGTGAGTCCAGAGGTTGGCTGGCTGTACACATTTTCCTGAAACATAATTCAGTCGGTGCGTATGTGCTGACTCAGCGAAATGACGGTATGCTTCACGTGACCATACGAATACAGACATAGTGATTGAGAAGGAACTGCCTGTAGGATTGTATATATTCACTGACTAGAAAGAAGATGTGAATGAAATGAACATCATGACAACTAATGATTACGTATAGAAGAAAGAAAACAGACATATTTTCTGAATTCATTCATTATTAAAAGCCTTTCTTAAAGTCATGCAGTTTCACATAGAACTGAAAATGGACCCTGGGTTTAGCAGAGATTTGTGATAATTACGGAAAGGGTATTGTCGCTGTTATTTCAAACTTTTCTCATGAAAACCCAACAGTGATAAGAATAAAGCCAACATTGTTTTATTGGTCCTTTAATATTTGGCTTGTTCAGTGCTTGTTTTGAGCTTGTTCTTGAAGATATGATTCGTGAGACAGAAAGAAGAGAGAAGAGGTGTTACAGAATGGGGTCTTATCAGTAGAAGGTTCCATACAAAGTTTGTTATTGTCACACTGGGTGTTCGGTGATCTACGTTGAAGGTCATTAATTGGTGCTTGAAGGAAGATGAGGATGACTAGGAGTTCTATTCACCAGGTGATCGCGTCACGTGCTGATTGGTATCTATGGAAGTGGTACATGGGACATGCCTTATATTTGGTTAAACATACCTGCAGTAACAATGATCGTCTCAATTGGGGGAGATCTAAAGAAGGATCCACTTTGTTTGATCTTTCCCCCAGTTCTAATTGAGGTAACTGTTGAAATCAAGATATTCGTAAATTAAGGATTCCGCTAAAACACACGCGTCAATATACCACTACTGCTACTACTACAACTACTACTAGAATGCAATGCCCTGCTTTAATTCTTGGTTTACAGACATTTACCATAACCGTTTTGAAATGACAATCCATTAAAGTTATCTCAAAAGAGAAGAAGCAAGGAAACGTTGAGTGAAATATCCAACTCCTTTCCCTATTACATAAATTAGGTAACAGCCCGAGAGTAAAAGAAGAAATTCTCCGTGCGTGGAATGGAGGCTGGCGGATCCGTAAACCAAATAATTAAAGAAAGCAGCCTAACTATACTACTCTTGGACATACTATTGGGCATATATCATTTTTATCCATAAGAGCTTATGTTCTTTCCATTTTGCCTCAAAACTGAATTGTTTCTCATTCCTTATTGAAAAGGATATATAAATGTGAAACCTGTTCGATCAAAGGGCATGATTTGTTTTCAGTTCAAGTTTATGGCTTTCACCTTCGAGAGGATCTCTTTAAGAAATCTTTGTTTTTCATGTTTGTGCTGTGCAGTGTCACACCAAGAAGTGAATAAGCCAACTGACAAAAAACATACACATTAGGAACATGCACGTTTGGACTGAAGGGTTTTCGCATAAAGTACAAATCGTATCCTACATAATTAAATGGGGATATTTCACTAACATATTACGTCGCATATTAAAACAATTAACGTAACGGTAACACAAATACACGCCATTTCTATTCTTATTTACTAATTTCAATATTCGTATTAAATAAGAATAGAAACGTCTATGATCTACTGGCAGTTCCTTCAACCAATCGTGTCAAAGACCATGCACCACGTGACCTTTCGGCTCCAAGGTCGCCGGCGTCCAAGGTCACACTTACAAATGGACGGGTTTTTACCTCGCCTCTTGCACGAGAAGTTCGCAATTTTTCTGCGGCGAACTTAGAACGTGGCCGTTTCCTCCTGGGTTCAACTTCAACTTTGCTTGCAACAATTGCGGCCTGTATGAAAAGCAAACGAATGAAATTCGAGGGCAGGATAACGTGGGCCACAGATGAATTGAAAACTTGATACCAGGGCGAAGTCACTGACATGATCACATGTATACTACTCAACTTGTGATAGGCGCAGATACTCTTTACATATACATAGTCATTAGTACACGATCCCTATCAAACGTTGAATAGCATACATGGAACATGTACAGTTTGGTACAGTAGTTCACTATCCCTATTAAACGTTGGGTAACATGTGGAATGATTATCAAAATATACGGGTAGATTGTGTTTTATTGGACAGACAGTCTTAATAGCCAAAAAACCCAACTAAGGGACCTCAAAGGCAGAATTGGATTTTTATGCATATCAGTTTCACTTTGCTCTGAATTTTTACCTTAACTTTTTGATGAGTTGACATGGATGTAACTGCAGATAGGGCGACTGGACTCATTATCACATTAATATTCATTAATTGGTTTTCAGAATTTGGGGAAACACCAGTATTTCAATATTTGACACTCTTTCTGTTATTCCACAACTAAAGATGGTATATATACACTTGTCAATGTACTGAGACATGGTGACTGCCGATGGACAAGTTTTCTTCGTATTACCGTGACCCACAGTCTACAAGGAAATGCCTCACCCGGTGAAGAAAAATTAAGGTGTGCACAATTTGTTTAATGGTATATTTTTCTTTATAAAATCCTTAAAAACGTTTTAGTTAACAACATAATAAAACAAAATTAAATGTAAGAGCCATAAATACTTTAAATCATAAAATCATTGTAATGAAAATTTTATTTCTTCTTTATGCTTACATACACTTTAAATATAACCACAATTATTATATAAACGTATACATATACCAAGATACTAAAACAAATGCAATGAACATAAAACATACAGAAGCATTCTGACAAAGGCTGGCTGATGTATGTTAGTGATAAGGCGGGTGAGGCATACCCAAGCTAATGGTGTTATACAAGACGAGTAACGCTTGTCACTCGAAATGTCATGCTACAAGAAGGTGCCTTTGGGAAGCATGCAGACTTCTCTCGTCGACACAGTGTGAAGAAATTTGATCAGTAGATGTTTAGTGGTACTGTTTAACACCAGGATTAGAATTAAATGTGAGTTTTAACATCAACGACTGGTCCGTCAGAGAAGTCAGATTGCCACTCTTCATGGGTCACCTGACTTGTAACTTAAAAAAAAGAAGTGTCCATGCGTTCTTCCTATGTCCGCTCCACATGCCAACAATGCTGTAAGTACCAACGGCGGCCATCTTGAAAGTGGCATGCTGGGTAAATCGTTTACTACGCTGAAAACAATGTAACTGTAAAAAGGATCAAGCATTAGCATGAACGAATCCAAGTCTGGCTGTAATATTAAGAACATGAAGGACAGTAACAGTTTAGCCAATCGTCGCATGCCACGTGGCATTAGTAGAGAAAGAGCAACATATGCCACTGGCTTTTCAATAGTTTAACCCTTGAAGAATGCAAGATGAAGCTTCAACATGTTGTAAGTAATGGCAACAAATGCGAATATTTGTTATTGGGCTGATGCTGAACCATTACAGTGACAAAAAGCGGAAGCGGTTATGTCGCTACGGGAAGCCGTGTAAAAAGAGCAAGGGTTTTCTTGTGGACAAATTTTGAATAGGGTTTTGACGTTCCGAGGAAACTACGGGAACCAATGATAGCTTGAACTCAAATATGCTTGCCAAAGATAACCCAACAGCGAACCAACTGAACTAAGGAACAGCCAAACAGGAACTACACGTCACCTTTGCTCTTCTTGGTTTTCTAAAAGTGGCATATGCAGACCGCAGAGAGCGGGGTCGATAGCGAGGGAGTAACGTTCGCGCGTTTTGCTGTTGAAATATATGTGTAAGCGGAGCGAACCACTTGACGCTCCTGTACAACTACAGATTGTCCCTTGTTCTCTTTAGGGACAATCACAGAGCGTGGCACACTGTCAGCAACGTACTGTGGGGCACGCACTCGGGGGCCTACGGGTATTACGTAATACCCACTTCCTGGCCCTTGAACAAGAACGACTCTAGATCTAGGCGAATAGTAGTCGGGATAGTAGGCGTAAGGATAGCTAGCTACCTCAGTCCGGATTGGGATAGGTTTGGCTTGTGGTTTCACAGTTTGTTGGTTGGCTTTTCGTGCAACCCTTCTCGCTGCGACAGAAGTCTTGGGTGTAGCGTATGCCTCACTGGATACCTGCGAGGAAGGGAGGGCACAAAAATCATGGAAGGAGTGGAAAAACACAAGAGCTGCAAATTAAAGATGGTCTACACAATCTACAAACCTAGTGAAGCTTGGGACTTTGGACCTGGTTTTTTTCAGATTTTGTTTTCTGATGAAACTGATGTTCATCAAGATTGGTGTTCCTTCATGTTCTTAAGTGATATCTAGTTAGCATTCAGGCAACCCACCGTCATTTAGTGCCAGACCAGCCTTTCTACTGATGTCAGTGCTTGTGAGTAGGAAGGAAAGAATATAAGCCTAGTTAGTTGGTTTAATCCTAGTTAGCAACACACCTGTCTTAGGGGAGATGTAATGCGCGCAGCTCTCCTCTATCTAGGAGGTTAAAACCGTTAGCATCCACTGAGCAGCCAGTCATACACAGGAGCTAGCAAGTGATAGAAAGAACTGGAGTAGCCACTACATTGGGTGAAGCATCAGCCAGCCATTCACTAGGAGCAGAAGGGGAGACAGAGCATGTCCATAGGCTTGGCTAGACTACGGGCAGAACACATTACCTTGATTTTGATCTTATCAAGAACAGTAAGCTTATAACTGTCACGTTTGTCCTTGTCATTCGCAGAAGCCGTTTCAGGGAGAGTGAGAGACAGCGTCTCCGAGGGCAACACACGCTCGCTGACAGGAAGCTCAATGACGTCAACACGTTGCGTTGCGCCCCCCTGAAGGCGTTTTCTGAAGGATGTGTATGGGAGGAAGGTATCTGTCGGCTTGCTAGGAGTGTAAGTTCCGATCTCTCTGTATGCAGATGGTACCGTTCTTCTTGGTGAAACACTACTTTCAAGTCTACCGCGGAAATCTGCACGAATATCGCGCAGCTTGTTCAAATAGGTCCCAAGGAAACTGTCCCCTGTTGAGGAACTTGGCGAGGGTAGGCCAAGTACGCTTGATCCCAGTCCTGAGCCTACAAGTGGAACTGGAGGGTGGTAGTATTTAAATCCATATCTGCCACCAGTATTTGGGGAGACCACATCTCCTTCCACGCTTAGCACTAAGCTCGCATTGTCATAGTTGCCAAAGCCATTGTTTTTGAAAGCAGTCCTTGCACGAGAAGCGGATGACGACACAATGGAATTTAAGTACAAGTCACTTGCCTTTGAACCATAATCTGAGCTGATTTTGGGAACATATGGGATTTTGGACACTAGTGGGAGCTCCGGTGCTGGGGGAGTGTCATCATAGGGGGCGAGTTCTAGAACACCGGGCGACTCAAGCCGCCTTCTCGGTCTGAAGGGTACGTAATCATCAGGTTCGTCCATGTAACTATCCTGATACCTGTCCCCATTATCCCCGTAGCTTGTGTACATTCCCCCAACAGCTCCCTCGTCGTCCCAGTGGCTTGCACTGCCTATAGCATAGTATTCTGGTATTGAGTCCGTCTCGCTGAGGACATCACCTACCTCTGACGTGATGTCGTCTACGTTATAGTAAGGCCAGTATTTTGATGATCCCTTTTGTCCTGCCCGCTTTCTTCTAAGTCTGTCCATGTAGTTGCCAACTCGTATCTTGGTCCCCAAGACCTTTGGCCGACGTTTCGCGATGGTCGCTTCTGGGTATACAACAGGTTCATTCACATAATAATTGTCATATGTAGTCAGAGGGGCGCCGGCCGTGTATGTGACCGGCGTCTGGGTGCCGCTAGCATAGGGGGACACTGACGGTGACAGCGCCAGACGTCTGGAGGGGATGTACCCACTTAGCAACCTGGTTCCAGTTCTGGACCTGTAGGACGGGTACACAGGGGAAGCGGTGCCACTAACATATGGTGACACGCTGACATCCCTGTAGGCAAGCCTGGGTGGCACATACCCCCCGAGCAGCTTTGTGGTCTCTGTATATTCCGATGGTCTATATGTGGGTGTAGTAGATCCGCTGTCATATACTAATTTGTAGGTAGGCCTCTTCGAGCCAAGATACGGCGATTCATAAAGGGGAGAGGCCGTGCCACTACGAAGGGGAGATCCAGAGCGGTACAGAGTGCGAGGAATGTACCCTCCTAGAAGCCGAGTGGTTGAACTCTCTGGCAACACATCTGAAGAACCACTACCGTAAGTGCTTTTGAGAGACGCTATCCTACTGGCGGTTTGGCCTAACCTAGTGTTCCTACTGTATTTACTGACGGTGGGAGTTACATTTGGTCGAGGAGGTGCGCTGGCTTGAAGGTGTGAGGTGGGGAGAGAGTAACTTGTCTTACTCGATGACACCGGCGTGTCAACAATGTCGGGGGAGAAGGAACGAGTGAACGGTTGTGACAGAAAACGCCTCCCGGGAAGGGCGCTGGCTGTCCGGCTAGGCGAGGCCATCAGCGGCGAGTATGTCGACGGGGGCTGCATGAATAGTGAAGGGACACCTTAGATATTTGCTCTGGTCTAAATCAATGGAACGTATGGTCTTGTTGATGAAGCTAGAGGGTCTAAGGGCAAATCAAAGAAAAATTACTATGTCTAAAAACAAAACATGAGAAGCATTGGGTTGTAGGTTGTAGGATCTGATGAGGTTATCGGATATGCAATCAAAAGGCTATAGGACGGGAAATGGCTACATGTATAGAACAGTTACCTGGGCCCAGAATGGCATGATCTTGTAACACATGACGGTACAAATGACGTGTATGTGAATGCGTGTTCGCCAGTGCCTATTGACTGTTGACGATGTTAAAGATGAGGAATGTCATCCGGAATAAGTCTGGAGAATTTGCAGAAACAGACAGATAGACGTTTTATTCAATATTTCAGACCTTTCAGGTTTCATTTGCAGAAACGCAGGTATGCGTCGATCAAGACATGCTTATCATTTAGCGAATACTAATCACTGACTTTGAATGATCCATTTATATACTCTTGAAAACGAATAAGGGAACACATGAAAGTACAAGTGTTCCTTTATTTATTTCCAGAATTTCACCCACAGTGCAATACATACCTTGTGAAGAAACCTGGAAATGAATAAAGGAACACTTGTACTTTCATGTGTTCCCTTATTTGTTTCCATGTGTATATAATTTGCACCGCTGTTTTGCCTCTTAACCTAATGGAATTTCTTTCGGCAAACACTCAAAAGGTTTTACTGATTTAATTTTTTACTTTTTAAACCTGTTTCTGCAAATACTCCAATTCTAATAGTCATCGCTATTCATCTTGATTGTACTATTGAAACACAAAGAACATGCATAAATTATATGGACAAACCAGAATATGATGGATTCCAGTATATGTGCAGAAGGAATAGGGACTGTGGACTGTGCACTTTGTTATAAATTTCGTTTCAGATCATTCAAAATATCTACAGACAACACCGTAATATCCATAGACTATACAACTAACTACAACATATTACAGCGTGTTAACTTCTATATGTCACAACATGAACCTTAAATAAGAAACGTTAAAACGATATATACCTCTTATGTATACTGTTGCATGTTTAATAATTACTGCAAACATATTTACAAGAATATGGAATAAAAAGTATATATCTGAAATGGAATGTTATGATGATAATTATTTAGGGATTCGTAGGATCACACGCGCACACACGCACACACGTGTTCTGATACTATGTGATTAAAATTAACAATCATTCTCCGTGTTACTGATTCACTATCAAAACATAACTTCACTTCGCCTTCTCGGAAATTACCTGATTCCTCTATTCTCCAGATTGATGTCATTGATGATTGAAGGATAAACACGATAGTTAATTTTCAGGAATAAAGTTTCACAAATGCAAGTGAAGATTCACCGTCAAATGGGCACAATCCTATACAAAAATCATGGTGCATTAGATTTACAAATTATTAACTTTAGACACTAAATCTGGATTCAAAATAATTTCATATGCTACAAAGTTCTAAAAACGAAATTAACATGGATGATATTATTGTAGTGACAAGCTTCGAGACTCCCTTTGGAATATAGAATTAAAATATAAATAATGTCAATAATTTCAACGGACATGCAGGACATTTTCGGTTTTATTCGTAATTGTTCATGTTCGTCGCTGTTTCATAACCTTTCGAATCATATTCCGTACTATGTTACAGAAATATAAGTGTTCTTTTACATTAACCGCGAACCATCTTTTCATTGGCTCATACGTTCTCGGACGTCATACGTTATCGGACGTCAGTGCTCCTTCGGGCTGCAATGAGGAGTGATGCGTCACACAGACGTTGTCAACTTTTGATTGATGGCTTGTGTTTAGGATAAAGTTTTCTTATTTAAGTTAGTGATATGTATATGGGATAATCGAGAAAACCACGAATGTTATTTATTGTCCGAAAACTCATAACACGAGGATAATATTTTCTAGCTCGCTTGAAACCCAGAAACTGTTCAATAATATCTCGCTATAAAGAAAGGACAACACGCTTTGTTTTCTTCAAACCCGGTTCAAATATTCTTAACCTAAAGGCAACATAGTGAAATATTTTTTTCAAAATGTTGAAAATTGACAGTGTAGGATAATGGCGGATAAAGGGAGGTAACTCACGATGGCTGCTGTGGCGTTTTGCAGAAGTGCCTGGTCCCGCCCTCGTGACTTGTTGGCAGTGTCGTAGGTGTCGAACAGGGAAGCGTCAGAATAAGATGTAGCGCTAGAGACGGCACTGCCAAGAGCGTACTCCTCTGCAGTTGATTCTGAAAACAGAAAGTTTTATTTAGGTGGCATAGTAGTTGATATTTTTTAAGGGGTAAAAGCATTCGTGACCCACTCGGGCTATTCCGAGACAACTGAATAACGATCTTCTCGGAGGTTACGGAAAGGGACGACTGGTGACGAATGAAAAAAACAGATAACATTCAGGTCCACTTGGCTCATTCCGCTACTACGCTCCTGCAAAAGCACTACAATCCGTCTACAAGGAATGGATACGTTGCAGGTTCTGACAACGTGACGGTCGATGTTACGAAAAACCTATCACATACAATTTTTTTAGGGCATCATGTTTCACGTAGCCACCTTATTCTGAACATGGGCCAATTGCAGCCCCTTGCCAAGTTCAGTCAAGATGGTTGGTGGCCCATGATGTTAACGCACACGTTTCTCCGACGTGTTCAGAGGTAATAAAGGTGTGGGACCCGGGAAGATCCGGGTTTTCAGCAAATTATGCTTATCGTTAGAGGCGACTAACGGGATCCAGTGGTCAGGCTCGCTGACTTGGTTGACACGTCATCATATCCCGATTGCGTAGATCGATGCTCGTGTTGCTGGTCCAGACTCGATTATTTACAGACCGCAGCCATATAGCTGAAATATTCCTGAGTGCAGTTTTAAACAACAAACCAAACAAAGGTCTGGTCTCTTTGCTGGTCACAGTATTCTATATATTCTTTTGCTGCTGGAGGAGAGCATTGGTTCCTGCACAGTAAGTACTTGTGATGTGGTCCTGACTTACAAAAGGTCGACCAACATACCTTCCAAACGGGTAGGGGCGGTGGGGTAGCCTATTGGTTAAAGCGTTGGCTCGTCACGCCGAAGACCCGGGTTCAAATCCCCACATGGGTACAATGTGTGATGCCCATTTCTGGTGTCCCCCGCCGTGATGTTGCTGGAATATTGCTAAAAGCGGCGTAAAACCAAACTCAGTCAGTCCAAACGGGTAAAAACAAAAGGTAGCAGTATGTTGTCCCGATAGTACTGCCCAGTGACCCTATACAGTGGCGTTTGCTCATTCACAGTGATCCACCACCAAATACATCATGAGATCTTGACCACAGCTTGACGTTCATTTCGAATTCGTCAGACACGACCACGCCTATCACGGACGAGCAAAATGAACTGAAACTCACCGTAAAGCAAGACACCTGTCGATTGACGTTTACTGCAGCTTTACATTATTCGCCGTTTATATTATAGAAATGCTGTTGGCGATGCGTGTAGACGATTTCCTATAGTTGGTCCATCAACCTGAACTCCAGTGGTCAGATCAAAGTATACTACCCATCAAAAGTTTAGACTCACTAGTATAAATGTATCCGCTTACTTCAGTCAACCGTTCTAAACTAGATTTTGCAAAATATTCCATACTGTTTAAATGTACTCTTTACACATGAACTGATGCATTGTAAAACAAATTCGTAACGTTGAAAAGATTATTATCATGAGTTCAATAAATGATGAAACTCAGTGAAAATTGGTGAGTTCTTAACAAAACTTTACACCAAAACGCAGCTGTTCACAAGTACGATATTTGAACATGCTTTTCAGCAATTTGATGCATGAACCTCGTACAATTCATCTGCATAAAGTTTGCAGTTGGTTCCCCCTAGTTAGTGGAGAAATTCATCTTCGATGTAACCATATGTGAGTGCTTTAAGTGAGTCTAAACTTTTGATGGGTAGTATATGAAGCCATTTCATCTGGCGTTTCAGCTCAGATAGGTCGTGTGTAGGTCATGATGATGACCTGTGACACCCCGAACTGGATCGACATGCAGGGTTTCTCGGTACCCGTTTCACAGTCTGCTAATCACAGAGTGTGAAACACTGAACAAATCAACAACACGCTGACGTCTGCCAGTTTCCGACATGGCGATATCCCGAAGACTGTAGCAGACGTGCATGGCTACTTCATGCAGAAATGAATAAAATGAGTAAGTTACAGCTGTATGATATGTAAATTACCGTATGATATGTAAATTACTGTATGATATGTAAATTACTGTATGATAAGCTGCACCAATAAGAAGGACAGCCACATGAATCGCCCTTCCTTGAAAGTGTCACAGCAGGAACGAAACATTTCGCACGTGGGTGGGACTCTTGCGTGCGGCACGTGTGATTTGGTCCTAAGTTTCAAATGTGTTAAGTTTCTCCTTCTTGAATGTGCCATTTGTTGTCAATACTTATCTTTGTTCTACTCTTTGCTACTCCTCCTACACCCATCCCCTGATGGTGAAGAGCTTTTGTATATTCGGTAGTCAATGTTCCCACAACGGTCTTTGAGATATTGTTGAAAACGTACAACAGACTTAATTTGTGCTTTAAGCAGAGATATCTTATGGTAGTGGAAAGCGTCATTTACCGTATCCAAGCCTTCGTGGTATATACTCGGGGGAAAAGGCGTCGCTGAAGACACGTCTAGGGGTGGTACCGTACGTCCCTCTACGCAGAACGGAGTGGCCCCTTGTGCTCTGAAAAAGGTAATACTTGGGTATAAGTACATGTGTATGTAACAGTAAAAGGTAATACAGGTGTTATAGAACAAGTGTGTTTACTCTGACATGGGTAATATAGGGATTATAGTACAGGTGTGTTTATTTTTAGACGGGTAATACATGGGTTATAGTACAGGTGTTTACGCTGACACGGGTAATATAGGAGTTATAGTGCAGGTGTGTTTACTCTGACAAGGGAAATATAGGGATTATAGTACACGTGTGTTTACTCTGACACGGGATAGGTGGGTATTAATACGATACCGATAATACAGGTATTAAAGTACACGTGTGTTTATACCGACACGTGGTAATATTGCAGGTGTGTTTATTCTGGTACTGGTAATACAGCGGTTATAGTACAGGTGTGTTTAATTTGACACCGGTAATACGGGGGTTATAATGCAGGTGTGTTTACTCTGACATGGGTAATACGGGGGTTATAGTTCGCGTGTGTTTACTCCGACACGTGATAATGTTGCCTGTGTGTTTACTCTGACACGAGTAATGCAGAGGATATAGTAAGGTATGTATACTCTGAAACATGTCTGATATTCTGAGAATATAACTGAAACATAATAATTATTGTAGACATTCAAACATTAAATAATTTATACCATGTCTTTCATTGGAAATTCTTGTAAAGTGATATTAGAAGTGTTAACATGTTAATAAAACCAGTTTCTTCTGAAGCAATTTGTATTAATTGTGAAATGCATGCAATGTCTCAACGCCAAAGTGAATGTTAATGGTTATATCCGAAACGTTGTTAATGGCAATGAATCTATTACAGAACAGCAACAAATACAACATTTTCAGGAATGTTATTATATATAGAATATTTGGAATGTTAAGTAAAATTATATACCTGGTCCATATTATATTCAAAGTCATTCTGGACCTAAAGTATTTAAAATACGATAGGAGAGGAAACTGGATTCCCTGTCTCACTGTTTAAAGACAGGATATCGTCTCTGTCACTGCCACAACACAAGGATGATTCTTCTGTGAGGTAAGTTCGCAAAATTGTACGGTGTTTTCACAAATTTGTTTGACGTGTGCAGAGAATAGCCTATTACCTTTTTCAAAATAACCCACATCATTAACTCACCCATAGCCTAACGCACCCCCACCCCAACCCCCTTCCAGGAGACGCAAATTCTTATGATATATATTTAGCAACAGTAAAAAGGCCCCCAAGACAATAAACATACAGTATTTCCTGCTACATTTTTTCCTGCAACACTTTACTTCCGCAATCCGTAACCGCAATAACAGGTCTGCAGAAGGACAAGTGTATCACTGGAATTTCTGGCACTGTAGCCGAATGTGTAGTCTGTCTCACAGTCCCTGAACCACATTATTTTCCCTACTGCCAAGCCCCCTCTGCAGTGCTAAAGCCCTAAATAAAGCAAGTCTAGATTTCCTCAGAATCTCTGGTCTTTCTAGGGCTCCTTTTCAATATAAATGGGCGTGTTTGTTACTATCAAAATTAGAGACTAAGCATTAGTCTACCGAATGTGTTGACGTAGCAGATTGAGCCATGCACTTTGCCGTGCAGATGAGCAGTATGAGTGACAAGCGAAAGTTGGAATGTCGGTGTGTGAGTGAGTTGGGTTTGATGCCGAGTTTGGCAACATTCCAGCAGTCTCAGGGCGGGTGACACCACAAAATGGCTTCATATGTTTAACAGACCCTCTCACTGATGTTTGTCATTATTGCATATTGCGTCAAGACAAAGGCGTGTGCGTATGCGCATGCGTGCGCGTGGGTGTGTACGAGAGTATGTTGTTATGTAAGGCTTGGTAAGGAAATACAAAGAGACGAAAGCCTTTCTAAAGCCACAGGAAATCTCTGCTAAAAATAAAACTCTTCCCATATTGTCAAGAACTCTTTTCTAAAAGGCACAAGAAATCTCTAAAAAAGCCATTCTTTGAGAACTTCAGATATTTCATCCTGAGGTTTCACATAAAGATTTCACTGACAACATGGCCCACATTACAATGTTTAACCTTACAGCAATTTATGTATCGTTGACAAGGAACCCCATTCAATGACAAAAAGATCAGTTAAATGTGTGTGTAGCATATTTTAACACATTTTGTTGTATGGTCTGGCCTACAAGTGTATACAAAATGTGATTTGACATCACGTATACTTTCGTCACAGACATGCATGTAAGACATATGTCTACTCTGGAATGATGGGGTAATCAAAAGAATATTAATGCCAGTATAATCATTTCTTCAAATGCATTCGTTCCGCCACAATAAACTTGCACTACCAAGTTCATTCGTGACCAACTCGTGTTATTCCGGGACAAGTCTTCACGGAGGTTACAGAAAGGGGCGAGGGGTGACGAATGTACCAAGTTATTGCGGAACTTCTTAAACCGGTTTAATGTTTTCAATCCGGAACCGTCATTCCGGAATTCGTCAGAATGTGGGAAGATCCACTTGTGAAGTAGGAGAGGGGTGAAACCCGATACCCCTGACACACGCCGCATTCCTCCCAGAAACACAGCACGCATACAGGAAGGGCCTAATTTAGCTGCGCTCATCTCAATACAGTGATAAATAGGAGAAGAGCTCCACGAACGCGCGCTTGTAAGGTTGCCATGGAAACGGATAAGTAGATAAAGCTAGACCGTACCACAGAGGACGTCTGACGTAGGCTTGTAAAATACCTCCCCGTTAGAGCGAGATAATATCTTTATTGCAGAGCTATTTCAGTGATGCTTATCTTCCAATACACGCAATGTGTAACTACGATTATACTCAGTTCTCCTACTCTGTATTAAACCATGGTGTGATTAGAGCGAACAACATAGACATATGTTATTGGATATGTCCTAAGACCTAAAAGGTATTTCTACAGTTTCGTATGAAGAGTATCTATAGATATATCACAGTATTGCAATACTCTTAGAGTGTGATACGGTCAAGAGAGATTGGTCATAACACGAATTGAAAGTCATTTCTAATCGAGTTATTAATTATGAAAAGAAGATCTGTTCATATCTTTCTTCAACATCGGTGAAATTGTATATAACATTCCCAGTTGCGTGAGATGAACCATTTGACTAACATCTAATATCTGAGAAGAAATCATTTTACAGAATAAACAGTTCTTCTATCATCTAAACAAATTATCTAAAAGATATAAAGGAACTCTTTTTCATTGCCAAATATTATGCTAATGCATGTGCTGTATTGGATATATATGTTTCAGGGTCTCTATGACAAACATATACTCATGCCAATAATGGTTGTCACCCCCTTCAAATTTTTTTTGGGAGAGGGGTGTGGGTTGGGGTGGGGAGGTCGCTGAAAACCATTATTGGCATGAGTATATATGACTGGGAGACTCATATATGGAACCGACTGCGACTCTTTATTGAGGCAAAGCGACTGATTTAATGCCTTAGGACATTTGTGCCCATCCAGAACTCCTAGCTCCAAGGATAACGTGTACCATTCTACGAGGCAGCAACAAACAATGTACATATAAAGCATTGAGGAAGCACCTCCGTGTACACAATAACAAGGCGCTATTATTATCCTCTCAGACTTCCAGGCAGCACCACAAGGAGGAACCAGAACATGGACAGGCTATAGACATATCAGTAAATCACGGACAAAAAATGCAAAGCGGAACTTGTAGGAAGTAAAGCATCTACTTTAGCAAGTTCCAGGGAAATGGGCCAAGGCCGTGTTTTTGTGTGGAATAACAACAAGAGTACTGTGTACATTCAAACCTCGTTAACCCGGACTTCGTTATTCAGTAAGCAGCGTCTACCAAGCAGTTACGGCATATGCAAAGGAATACTCCTTAACCTATATTGTTAAATGTTGACGATGTTCCAGGAAGCGTTACTTTCCTGAACGTTATACTGATGAACCTATTTTGATAATTAAGGGGTCCTCAACTGTATGAAGTATCAATTAATCTTACAGATTCTGTGTTAATTTTGGTGCTTTCTTCAGGTAATATAGGTTTTTATCATCCAAAACTGTGTCCCACAGGAGATATTGCTTGTGTGAGATCAAACGATATCTCCTAGGAGATATAGTTTTGTCAGTAGATATTGTACAATGCCCTGACAATGCTATGACGTCATGAACTTGATGACGTCACAATGCTATGACATCGCTGCACTGCAAGTCTAATGGCAGTACCGTGTTCAGAGATATTTTTTTGAAAACTAAAGAAGAGTGATTTTTGATGATAAATAGAATTCTGATATCAAATATATCAACACTCGTTGATAAAAGTAATAATATCCTTGGCAAGCCTCGGATATTTGTAACGTTATTCTATAAGTATCAATTACATTGTAAGCTTTAACGTAACTTAATTTGTGTCTTCGTTAGATAATATGGTTTGTTGTTCAGCATTGAAACAACAGTATCAATGCAATATGCCTGCACCCTAAAAACAATCGATTCTTAACCAAATCATTGATTGATATTTTGAGGAAAGTTTCACGCCATTGCCAACAATGACCATCAACATTATAGGATATTTATATAGCGCACATATCCAGGCAACTAGTTCATGCTCAAGGCGCTAATATTATTTCCCTCGATCATTGGATGTCAATCTCAATGGCATATCGTATTATCAATCTCAACTCCCTGGGGAGTATACAACTTATGCAGCCACCAGGCGCACCGAGTTATTGTGGCTTTCTCATCCTAACGAGGTACCCATTCACAGCTGGGTGGACTAGGACACATAGTCACAGTACTTTGTCCAAGTTTACTGCACGTTGCTGTACCCGCAACTAGGTGTTTGCACGTGTCCATGTGGCCACCATCTGGTCATATACCAACGGATTCGTGGGTTCTTTTAAGTGCACAGGGTTGTGTACTGTACACTAGGGGTTGTGACAACACTGAAAGAGTCTGCACAGAAAGTTGACTCTAAGGTTTTTACACCCGGTCACAGGTGGGCTCGATCCCCACACCTCAAGC